ATGATGGGAATTGGCAGGGACAACTTCAACCCTACTACGTACTTGAAGAGCAACAGGGATGAAGATGTGAAGGCTATGCACTTTTGTTGCCTGAACGTCCTGTGCGAGGTGATTCCGATGGTGACGGGACACCAACAATTCTCAGTGCTACGACCAACACCAACTGGACCGGTGGACTTCTTGTACATCGACCCCGTCGGTATCCTGCTGACTCATTCCGATCATTCAGTCCAGACCATCGGATTGCTGGTGGACCACAATGTGCAAATGCCTGCGCATTTCATGGACAGATTGAACAGATCCAAGGCTGAGAGACAGCAAAACCCGACGACCAAGCGTACTGAAGCCCTACACCACATTTCGGCCGCTGACTATCTCCCTCCAGGTGGTACTTCCATCCTGGACACGCCTGTCACTACGGAGGAACGTGCAAGCGCTTCTTCGGCCAAGGGACCTTCAAAGGGGCGTGAGAGAGCCGGAGGTGAACAGCATGGAGGCTGGAACGCCAACACCTACTATGACTACACCGCCGGCAAAGGCCGAAACAAAGGCAAGGACAAAGGAAAGCAAAGGGAACAGTATCCAGAGGAAAACCTCCGGCCCTGGGACCGCGATCCTGCGACCACGCGAAGATGGAGATGAATCAACGCTTGGTCTTCCTCGCCTATCAGTTCGTGACCTCTGAGCTTCGCCCATGGAATGCCATCGCGAATGCTTCTTTCTTCGGTGACGCCTGATTCGTTTGCCATTTCAGGGGATCGTTACTGACGTAGATGAGTGTCACAACGTTTCTAATTGGGATGCAAAGCTCTGATTTTCAATGTCAACGTTGCGGCGGAACATTTTCTGTTGTCCTATCGTGCCATCTTCCGGGTGAGCAGCGTCGGAGACGCAACTCATGGGGGGTGCGAACGGACTGCGATGCCTTGTCAAGTTCTAAGGTGTCACTATAAGAGCTGTGAGCAAGACCGTGTAAAGTGCAAGAGAAGGGGGCACGCTACGCGTCCCTCGACTCTAAGGGGGCACGCTACGCGTCCCTCATCTTTACCTTTCTATGTGACCGCCCACGCAACGTTTGGCTCAAGTCAATGCCCATAGCTAAGTGCTATAAGTGTCTTCTATCCTGAGCAATCAGAGCTATCCCGTTGCACAGACGAACCGCCGCCGGCAGTGAGTGCAAAAGGAACGGCCGCCGGTTCTGCCTGCATAGGATTGCACGCGTGGAAGTGTAAGAGAGACAGAGTCCAGTCTGTGGAGAGTGCAAGCCAGCCACACCTACATTCATTACAGCTCTGGTGGGGAGAGCAGCAACCTAGTCGAGATCAATCCCCCACGCAAGTGTAAATTCCTCCACAAACCAAAGTCAAGATCCCCAAGTCCTCATCGAACACCCCAGAAGAAGATCAATGCAGTTTGCACCTTTTGGAAGAAGGGTAAATGCACTAAAGGCAAAGACTGTAGGTTCCTGCATGAAGACAAGCCCAAGCCAAGTGATGCCGCTCCTACTGAGCAGGCCGCCCCTGCAAAGAACGATGAAAAGCCAAGGAGTCCGACCCCGGATCCGAAAGCAAAGAAGGAAAAGAAACATAGGGGCAGGTCTAAGAGTAAGGAAAAGTCTGGCGGACGCACGGCAGCTTGTTGCATTTCGTATGCGCTGGCAGCTGTGCCCAATGGGCAAGGCATCAAGGGTAACGCTTCAGGAACTTTCAAGAAATTGAGGTTTAAGGAGAAGCCAAGCATTCGGGAGATTCCGCTGGACGGTAAGGGTAAGAAGCATAGGACCAAACCGCGAACCTTCGAGGTTTGCTACTTGGATGCTGAAAGTTGCCCGAAGCCTCCAGTTCAGGATCTAAGCATGGCCATAAGATCAGCGAATGAGCTTGCCAGGATCATGTCCTGTATGCTCAATGGGATTGAAAGCCTCTGTGAGTATGAGTGCACTGATGATTGTGAAGAGAGTGAGATCCCAGTTGCAGTGTTGAAGTGTGAGCTGTGTTCTAGTGTGGAAAGAACTGCATGCTCTAGCTTTAATGCGGGATTAGAATTCCTCGCCGATACTGGCAGTGAAGAAGATCTGATCAGTAGGCACGATCATTCCATCTACTACCCAGAGGCCCCCATCGAGAACGCTACTAGGCCAGTCAACTTGATTACAGCTAACGGTCCGGTTCAAGGAATCAAGTCAACCAACATCCCGATGCCCGAACTGAAGCAGAACATTGAGTGCTACCTACTGGAAAGCACGCCACCGGTTTGTTCCGTTGGGAGAAGGTGCATGGACGATGGGTATGATTTCCATTGGCCTGCGGGCAAGGTTCCGTACTTTGTAGCTCCCGATGGCAAGGTCATAAAATGTAAGATGAAGGGTAGGTAGAGTCCCAGTAATCTCAAATGACGAATCGGTAGCAAGCCCAGCAAGCACGGATGATTCCCAGAAATCTGCTGGAACTCAGGTGAACTGGCGGAGGACGAGTCTTCGGGTTTCCAGTAGAAAGCCGTCCGAGAGGACCGGCCGGGGATGAAAGGGTCGTTCACAGCGACTCTGAAGTAGAAGAAGCAATAAATGCCGCACCGCCAATTGCAATCAAGCCTAAAGATTTAGCCAAGCCAGGTTGGATCACAAGCAGTGAATTTGCCGCATCAAAGATCATCATTGGTCATCGGCCAAAGGCTTTGCGAGTACCCGCACCTCGTCATCCAATGTTCGTGCTAAGGACCACTTGGATCTACAAGGACTCTGCTTGGAGCAAGATTGAGGATTCTGTTGACATCAGAAGTCTAAGGGTTAAAAACCAAAAGATTGATGGAGCGCCAATTCTGTCGATTACCGCATTTAAAAGACCCGAGGACGACCCCTTAATCGAGCCCGATAGTGACAAGGAAGAAGATGAGGGAAGGGAAATCTCGCAAGAAGCCCGGCTTCGCGCCGAGGCCGAAAGCATCCACCATCAGTCCTGCCATCGTCCTAAGAACCCATTCTGCAAAGTGTGCCAAAAGGCGAAGATGCTCTCTCCCCAAGCTCGAAGAAAGGGGGGATCTTCGACCATAAGCAGCACCAAATATGGGGATCACTTTACGATTGATCATGTCGTGACAAAGGATTTGAGGGACTTTGGATTTCAGGATGAGAAGGTGGCGCTTGTTGTCAAAGATGTATTTTCGCAATTCAGATACGTGTATCCAAGCGCAACAAAATCAGCAGAACAAGTGCATGAGGACCTTCTGCACTTTTTCAGCACGCAAGACGAAGTCGGGGTTATTTACTCGGACAGTGCGCCGGAGGTAGGGGCAGCTGTGAAGGAACTCCGATGTAGGCACAACACCTCTAGAGAATACGTGGATGAAACTAAGGCCGTCATTGAACGGGAGATCCGTACTGTATTAGAGGGTACGCGCTCAAACTTGGAGCAAGCCGGTCTACCAGAACGGTTTTGGCCTTTAGCAGCTCCTCCATTGCGCTCAATCTTACGAAGCGAGTGGATACTGGCGAGATCCCATGGGAGGCACGCTTTGGGGAACCCTTTGCGGGACTGATCGTTCCTTTCGGAGCTAAAGTCTTGTATTGGCACAACCCTAAGCAAAACGTTCCGGAGACTTCCAAGTTTTCGTCAACTGGAGTTGAAGGGATTTTCCTGGGATACCATATCCCACCAGGGTTTGTTTGGAAGAAGGAGTATTTGATTGCACCCCTGAAAGACGCACAACTTGCCATTGAGGACGGAAATCTCAAGGTCATTAGGGCTAAGCGCGTTGAGTTGATCGAGGGGAGTTTCGTTTTCCCACTTCAGTCGGAAAGCATCAAGGATCGCGAGTCACATGAGGTTCCACGGTTGGATGATCAGAATATCCATGCTTCAGACGAAGAAAGGGAACGGGGACTTCGTGAGGCAGGCGAACTCCTTGATGAAATCGGTTTATCTGAACCCGAACCCGACGACGATCAACGCCCACCGAAAGGTGAGGCCGCGAGTAAGCCCAGTGAGCCCTCATCTGGTTCCAAGGGTGAACTGTTTGATCCCACGAAATATCCTGATGGTAGACCGGTTCCCGCTGGTTACAATTGGGATGGGGTTAGATTGGTGAGGAACAAGAAAGGCTCCAAAAGACCTCCTGATGTCCCGTCTGAATTCTGGCACATGTATTCCGCACAACAACGAAAGGAGGAAATCGAACGATGGGAGAAGAAGGTTGCGCGGGTGGAAGCTAAATTAAAGGAAGAACGAGAGAAAGAAGCTCCCGCAATGCCCGTTCTCCTTGGACATCGAGAACCTCATCGACCGAGGACGCCTGAGGATGGGAAAAGGTTACATGGTTTATTTCTGGATAAGCTTGAGCAGACTTGCGAGGATCTTTTCGCTGCCGTTGCCAAGCTTATCAATCAGAACGATGTTGCCAGAAACCCCGAAGCTCAGGCTGCTATGGACAAAGAATGGAAGAAACTTCTTGACAAAGGGTGTTGGCTTGAGAAACAGGTTCGTGAGTACGTCGACACTCCCCAAAGGACCACACAGAAGGGGATGTGACATTATTTGTTGATTTGTAAAAATTTGCTGTGGCAAATTAGCTTGCTTGATTTTAAATCATTTGAGCTCGTTTGGGTAGTTGAAGAAAACTCAGCCTGCGCAGCTGTGGCTCGCCAGCTTGAATTTTCTTGTCCCGCCCTGTCCCACCCTTGAAGTTGAGTTTTTCGCTTCATGTTGGTTGGGATGGTTGAGGTCTCCGGAGCCATTTTGGCTCAAGCTGTGGCTCGCCAGCTTGAATTTTCTTGTTGGGCTCTGGGCCGGCATCCGTCTAGCAGGTTCCAGGCCCTGTACTCCGGTGCTTCCTAGTGCTCCTGAGGGGGCTTTCCATGGAAGGCCCTGCGTTGCTCCTGTCTGCGAGTGTTGGGCGCAGAGACACTGCCAGCTTAATCTGGCACTGCTTGTCGTCTGACGACCGACTACCATACCTTCGTACGTGCTGGTACATTCGCTGCAGCTGTTTTTGCGCCCGGCCCTGATATGAGTGCCCAACTGTCACACGAAGCTGCGGTTGCATCCGCTGACCAGGGCCCGGAGCTCCTCGGCTCCCCCGATCTTACACCTGCCGGCGAGCCGGCCGCGTCTGCATCTCAAGCTGAGTCTCAGGAGCTGGTTTTTGGGTCTCTGGGGGATTTTGATTCAGCAGCTCCTGATGCAGTGTTGCAAGAGACAGCACATGATCCAGAATTGGTCAGCCTCGAGGAGTTGGCCAAGTCTTTGAGAGAGCCTAATGCTGCCAGTGGGTTGCACTTAGGCCCTGCCCCAGCCTCTCCTGCCGGGTCCCTAGGTAGGGCTTCTCCGGTTGGCGGTCCGCCTAGTGTAGTCCTCTCTCCCACATTCTCTTGGGGCGCTCAGTCTGATGCGGAAAAAGATCCCGGCTCAGAGACCAGATGGTGGAATCAGGTCCGCGACTCCGAGCCCGAGTCTGGGCCTGCTGGGGTCTCTTCGTCCTCTGGTTCCTTCGACTTTGCTGCTACATTCAGGATGGCCGTGCAAGCACAGTGGCGGATGCCGGAAAGGGAGCCGCTTAAGCAACCTTGGGAGCAGGGGATCTTTGGTGAGCTATTCGGAAGCGGCGGCCCAGAGCTACTGCCCACTTTGAAAAGGTCTGTTCCTACAATTCTGAAGGAGGACGGAGCGCCTTCTGGAGGGGCAGAGACCGCTGCAGTGAAGAGATCGAGGATCGTGGACAAAGGTGTCTCCTTTGCCGCGGCGGTGCAAATCAGGGTCGCTGTGGCGTGGAGTGAGCAGCGTGAGGCTCAGTTCGAGATCGGGATCGACTTGTGGATGACCCTCATGAAGGGCTGGAGTAGTTGCAGCTTCGTTGACCTTTTGGATGCCGAGCTGCCTGGTGATGCCCAGCGAGGAGTTATCTCCGACATCTTCAGGGGAAAGGCGCCTTCGACTCTACTGAAAAGAGGGCGGGCCATTGCAAGTTTTCAGAGTCACCTCGAGGAGAACCTCGCAACCTTCCCTTGTGTGGAGCGTGAGCTGTACCAGTACTTGAAGCATCTGGGGCCCCCAAGAGTAGGTGTTCTGGACTGTTGGAAGCTCTCGCCTTCGTTCGGCATGTGGTGGGAGTGGAAGAAGTCGAGTGCCTATTAAAGAGCAGACGCTGCAGGTGCCTTGGAGTGGTGGAATCTTTCAAGGAGTCCAAGCAGGCCCCGGCCTTGACTGTGGCGCAACTTCTACTGCTGCACGAGGCTCTCGAGTCGCATCAGGACCCCTGGACCCGTCACTTCGCGGGATGCGCCTTGGTGGCTACTTTCAGTCGCTGCAGGTGGTCTGACATACAGCATTCAGTCTAGCTTATCGTTGACAGAGGTCAGGGTGGGGAGCTCATTTACCTGGAGCTCAGGATTGGGGTGCATAAAACTTGTCGGCTACAGAGCAAGAGGCATCGCTTCTTGCACGTGGTCTCCCCGAGTCTGGGCTTGAAGCAATTTGGCGAACTGTGGCTGAAGAGCCGAAGGGACATCGGACTTTCGGACGAAAAGGATATGCCTTTTTGCCCTGTGCCGGATGCAAGTGGCCGCCCGACAGTCCGAGGCATTGAGTCGGACGAAGCCACAACTTGGCTTCGTCTCCTCCTCAAGAGCGAGCCGGGAAAGGAAATCGAGCCCTCGTCGAAATCCTTCAAAGCCACCATTCTCTCGTGGGCGGCCAAGAGAGGAGTGGATGGCCTCTCAATTCAGAGGTTAGGCTACCATGCGTCGGGAGGTTTGGACTTTGTCTACAGCCGTGATGCCCAGGCGCCATACATACTTCTGGTGGAGAAGCTCCTGGCCGAAGTTCGTGATGGGAGGTTCAAGCCAGACGAAACCAGAGGGGGTCGGATCATCGGGGCACCGACGTCTCTGCTAGAGCCGTTAGTGGAGCCGTTGGTCGGCCCAGGCATCCCAGGTGACTCGTGTCCTGAGGTTGGTGCTCCTGTGCCCCAGCTGGTCAAGGAGGAGATCAGAAGTGACCTCAGCGCAGGGTCGTTTGTCGTCGTGAATGCAACGGAGAGCGAGGCTGAGGATGATCTTGTGTCCCTCGGTAGCTCTACGGACTCAGCAGACGAGTACGAACATCAGCCTGTTGCAATGGTGGCCGGAGGGGACGCCGTACCTGACGGTTTTGACCTTTGGTTGCATGCGGGCTCGAAGATCGCTCATCTGGGTGTTGCTGAGAATTTTAAAAATCTTCTAGCCTGTGGCAGGGTAGTCGGACCAAAGCATGCAAAGCTCCGAACGAGGGCGCTAGGGAACGATGTAAAGCCTTGTCAGTTTTGTTTCAGACGGTGACCCGCTCCCGGAAAGGAAAAACTCTGAGCAGCGTGCGCTGGTGAAGTTTCCCAGGTGGTCGTTTTCCTTGCGCGTGCTCTGGGTGAGATGTCCCCAGTGGTGCATTGCAGCAAGTGAGCTTCGCGACCCGAGCGCAATGTTGGCTCATGAGCAGAGTGTCGCGATCAAGCGCAGCTGAAACACATTACAGCTTCAGGGTGGGCAGCACTGCTGATGCGAGCACATAACATGGAAGTGTGCAGTGACAGCTTGCAAGATAGCAACTAGTGACCTATCATAGAAAGATGGCCTTGATCTCTTCGGAGGCTGCACTGAGGCAGAGGTGCCTGGAGGTTACTCCGGATGGGAGTCTTTACACGTCTTTGTCAGCGCAGAGCATACGCACCTTCAGGCAGTTGGCATTCGCTATCGGAACGCCGAGGTCGGAACCCACTCAGGAGCAGTACCAACAGCCAGCAACGCAGCTGTTCGGGGCTGCAGCTACCATAGGCCGAGTTGCGCAATTGCGTGATTTGCACTTTGAGGCAACCACATATGTCATCCAGGCTTTGAAGGATCAGGTAAGTGCGGATGCCCCTGAAGGGCAGGTCCGAAAAATGCCGATGGCTGAGCGAGCGGCCAGGATGCTTGAGCAGCAGGGGCGGTTGGTAGGAGTTTCCATTTCAGGGGAGCTTCAGCCATCGAACTCCTTGATCGATAAGGTTGGCGATTTCGCGGAGCGACTAAGTTGTCTTTTCTGTTTTCATAGCTGCCGGTTCAGCAGCGCAATGATTAATTATTTATCGTTTTGCTTCCGGCATGCTTTCATGATGTGAGCTTTTGACTCACTCTTTTCAGGCATGTTTTTGGATTCATTTTGAAAAGTAGTCGGACGCGCTTTTTAAGTATGTGGACTACTTTTCAATGTTGATTAAAGTAACTCATGCGTGATCACCCGCGCCGCTTCACACAGCATGGCTCGTCGCACATGTGCAACATGACATCGAATCAGCTCATGAGCTACGCAGCTTGAGCATGCACTGTAAAATTTTCAGCCGTAGCGGTGGGCCGGCTGATGGAGGCCCAAGGGGCCGACTCCGACTCTGAGAATCTCAGCTCTTGCAGCACGATCTCGGCCATTTCGCGTCACGTGTTTGACATACAGATTCAGCTGAACCAGGTTCAGCAAGAGAATCAGGTCCTGAGTGATCGTGCCGAGTATCTTGAAGGTCGTCTGCGTGCCTTAGAGCAGTCTCAATCAGCTGTTGATCGCCGTCTTGTGTGGCTGGAACGTTGTGTTCAGCAAATCCGGACTCTGGCCTCGAATCTGTGTGGGCCATGAAACGTGACTCTGACAGCCTAACAGATTTGGTCGCACACACACAGCTGTGCGATTACAGGGCCAAACGCATTCCGATGCCTTGGGATCAGGGGGTTTTTGGTCTAGTCTTTGGGTCCCCTAGGCCTCCTGCACCCTTGGTCCCCCTCCCAAGCCCACCTTTTTCAGCTTGCTGCCGGTGTCAGTTCGGCGATACAGCAGGCTCCGCAAGATGCTCTGCCCTCCGCCACTCAGGCCTTTGCTCGGCAGCGGGCTCGTTTTGCTGCGCTGATTCGGTCAGATGATTCTGTGCGCTTTGAGGCTTTACGTAAGATTAAGACCCTGACTTTACTTGATCCTGCTGCATCGGAGCTGGGGCGGCTTCTCATCGGCGAGGCCGCTATTTTGTCTGACCCTGAGAGACTTCAGAAGTCCTTTGCTGACACGTTCGCTACAAAGAGCACTGCAACATTGGCCAAACGAGCTTCCTCCTTCTGGAAGTTTGCCGAGTTTTGCTTGATGTTCGATTTTGGCTCGCCCTTTCGTGCGAGCGAGGCGGCTGTCTATGCATATATCCAGGACTTACAAGCCCACGGAGCTCCCACGTCGGCCAAGGCCTTTCTTGAAAGCTGGAATTTTCTGTCAGCGCTACTGGGTTTCGCAAAACTTGCAGGCCAATCACCTTTGTCAGGCCGTGTGCGAGGAGCTGCTGCAGCGTTGGCGGCCACCAAGAAGCCGCTGGTCCAAGCCTCACCATTGTCAGTTCCAATGATTCGGGCTCTGGAAAGAATTGTGGTGAAACCTCCGTATCCTCATTGGCGTGTGATTGCCGGGCACATCCTTTTTTGTGTGGGAAGCTGTTCTCGCTTTTCGGACACAATCCACCTCAAATCTCTGGAGCTTCAGAGTGCGGGAACTGTGCATCTTTTGGAAGCATCCTCTGCATCTTACAAGACTGGTACTGGCGAACGGAAGACCATACTTCTGCCGCTGCTCTGCCTGGGATCTTTCGTGTACCCCACGATTTGGGCGCCGCTGTGGATGGAAGCCCGAGCTGATGCTGGCCTCGGCCTCAATCCGTCACTGCCTGCATTCAGCGAAGCCTCGCAGTCTTGGTTGGAGCGTCGCATGTCTACCTGAGAGCTTACCATGTACTTGCGTGAGTTCCTCGTAGCCAGTCACATCGACATTCCTTCGGAGTCCCGCATCAGCAGTCACAGCATGAAGGCCACCTTTCTCAGCTGGCTAGCCAAATTCGGAGGAGTTTCTTTGGAGGACCGCCGCATTGCAGGGCACCATTTGGACCCTGATTCCCGGTCCCCTCTGACCTACAGCCGTGACGAGCTGTGCCGCTTGATGAAGATTTTCGAGGACATCCTGAAAGCCATCCGTTCCGGCCATTTTAAGCCTGATGACAGTCGCGTGATGCGTTTAGCTGTCATGGTTCAGGCTGAGTCAGGCCCTCAGCTGCAGGAGAAACTCCTCGAGCAGGACCCATATGTCTCCGACTCCGAAGCTGGTGATTCCGACATCAGCCCCGAGGATCTGGAGGCCCGAGCCGGTGGAGTCCCCCTGGACAATGGCTTGAACGCTGCTCAGATTCCTTCTGTCTACAGCAAGATGCACATTTACAGTCGTACAGTGCATATACAGGCTGCTGAAGGTGCCAAATTTTTGTGTGGCCGACCCATCACCCGCAATTTTGACGAGCTGGACAAGGCCGTACCGGCCTCTGATCTGCTTGTTTGTAAGCGGTGCAGCCAAATCCACCGAGCCAGTTAAATAGCTGGCGCACGCATTGCTATTCTCGCAAAAGAAAGCCTCTTCAGCACGAGCAGCCGAAAGACCCGGGTAATCGGAGAAATTTCTCTCCCAGCCTGCAGTGGTCTCAAGGGTGGTGCCAAGCCGGGTCTATGAGCAACTACATCTGCGCTGGCGGTACTCGGGGCACCTTAACCCCAAGCCGTTGGACGCCATGGAACATTGTGCGTCTTGCAAGCTGTTTTCCGCATCCCCGGTATCCGGCACCATCCCTGGCAATCTTTCATGCTGTGTGGTACACTGCGTAAGCTGCGAGCGTCTGGAGTCCTTTACAGCTCTTGTCCACATGTGCAGTTTTGTTCAAGCCGGCTACCGTGTGAACCATGTCCAGCCTCGACAGCAAGGCGGCCTTTAAGGCCAGAGCAATCGAGCTCAACTTTCCCGAGGAGACCCTGAAAAAGCTCGCGGCCATCAATGTGGACACGTTCGGAGCTCTAGCCTTTATCGGGCCTCTTCAAGCTGGCACGACCGATGAGGGCCCACTCATCAGCATGCTGAAACGTGCTTTGGGTTCAGCGTCTGATGACGCGCTTATGAGCATCGCTCGCCGCCTGTGGTTCGAAAGCACCACTCAGGCTCTTGCTGAAATGCGTGGCAAGGTCGAGCGCACCGATGCTTCTGAACCAGTTCGGATGCCTTTGGCCGAGCGCACACAACGCCTTGCTGCTCTTCAGAAGCGACTTGTGGGTATTCACTGGACCTCCGACATTGAGCCTTCCCATAAGCTACAAGACTTGGTTGCTCAGATGGTGTCTGATCAGTCCTTGCTTTGGATTCCGTGGGATCGCCTCACAAGCCGAGCTTTGGAAATTACGTCTGACAAAACCGATCAGGCGGTCAGCTTCGACAGTGCCGGGAACCTCAAGCTCGTGAAACGGTCAGCTGAACCTTCTTGCAGTACCATCGGAGAATACGCCGTTAAGCTGGCACTTCAGAGGAGGAGTTTGGCTTTCGAACTAGCCAGAGTCTGCCGTTACGAGTACCTCGAGTCCTGGCATGACCAGTTGCTGCAAGTGCATATGCGCTCCCAGCCTTCAGGCCATCAAAGAGTTTCGATTGCTCAGCTTCGTGAAGCCGACAAGTTTCTGTGGACGAGGATCGCCGAGGATACGCGTGGCTCACTGTCCATGCGCTCAGATGGCTCGTACCCCTTCGAGGCCTCGCTTGCAAAGTGGAAGGATCACACGCAAGTTCAGTGCTACCTACTTCCGCTGATGCGATCACCGCCTCCACCGCCGACTCCACACACTCCCAACATCCCGCCCAACAAGGACGGGAAAGGAGGCGGCAAGGACAAAAATCAGAAAGGGCTCAAGATTCGCAAGGACACTCCCGGAGCGGAGAAACCCAGTGACTCAGGAGCCAAGAAGTGGAGCGTCCCGCAGGGTTGCCACTCGCAAGATTCGACCGGCAAACCCCTGTGTTTCAGCTTTAACACCAAGGGCTGCGGGTTTGCCAAACCCGGCAAGCGCTGTCGCCGCGGCCGCCATCTGTGCTGGAGGTGCCTGGAACCGCATCCGGCTTCCGAGTGCCCGGAGTTTCAGTGACCAGATTCTGCAGCTGCCGGCGTGATGACTCCTTCATTCAGGGATGACGAGACCGGTGGCAAGCGTCTTGCGGCCGAGGAGTTGGCCGACCAGCTCCTTGCTCGGCCCACTGTTTCTTCGGATGATTTGTTACGTCTTAGTTTAGCTTTGCCTTCTGAAATCCCTTCCCGAGGAACCGGTTCTAGAGGGCGCTCTGTTAGTTTGGGGGCTTTTGCTTTTTCAGGATCGCAGTGCTTGCGTGTACGTGACACCAGCAAGCAGTACCCCTTGAGCACCAAAGTTTTTGCCAGATTCGTGCGTCAGCTTGACAAGGATTTTACTTGCACAACCATTGCTGTTTTCACAAACCTTCAAACACAGCTTCACCAAGATACCGCCAACGATTCGCGAAGCCACAACCTTCTTTATCCGCTCTCCAAATTTTCTGAAGGAGACGTCTGGATCGAGTCCGATCAGGGAAAGGTGCCTTTCGAACACCGGGGCGAGGTTCTCTGGGGAGACTCCCTTCCGGTGTCCCAGGGGCTTTGCTATCTTGATGCGCCGAACTGCCGACATGCCACTTTGGCCTGGAAGGGCGAGCGCAGTATTCTAGTGGGATACACGGCCCAAGGAGCCGATTGCATGCCTCAGGAGACGCGCACATTCCTTGAGAACTTGGAGTTTCCCCTGCCCCCCGAGGGCCCCAGGCCCATCCCTAAGACTAGTCCGGAGCCCGTTAAGCCCTCCCTTGCTGTCGCTGACTCCTGTAAGCCTCTCTTCGTCGAGATCTTCGCAGGCTGCGCACGCCTTTCAAAGCATTGCGAGGCTTTGGGGTTTGAGGTTTTAGCGGTTGACTCCCCTTGGAACCGTCATGCACCTGAACACCCTCTTCTTGTGCTGGACCTTACGGAAACCATGTGCCAAAAGCAGCTCCTGGACAGGCTACTGCTGCACCCCCCATTCGCCATTCACATTGCCTTGCCCTGTGGTACGGGTAGCCGAGCCCGAGAAAGGCCCATAAGCAAGAAGGCGAGATTGGCAGGTGCCCCGGAGCCTGTCCCGCTGAGGGACAACGATCACATTTTGGGCTTACCGAACCTGTCGGACACCGACAAGGCCCGGGTTCGCAAGGCCAATGAGCTGTGTCGCTTCGTTGTCGAGCTGATTCGTGCCTTACCTTCTTCCACTTTTGTGAGCATCGAGAATCCCAATAATTCCTGGATTTGGGGAGTGCTAGCTTTCTTCGTGCAAGAATCTCGAGACCCTGCCCTACTCGAGAAATGGCGTCGCATGATCGATGTGCGCTTTCATAATTGCATGAAGGGAGGTCGACGACCCAAGCACAGTCGCTTTCGTTGCAGTGATTCTCGCTTGTCTAGCATGGCTGTGGAGTGCGACAATCAACATAGGCACGATCCCTATCTGGTCTATCAGACCGGCCGACAGTGGAGATTCAGTACCGCTGAAGAGGCGGAATATCCGCCTCAACTTTGCCAGGAGGTGTCGCAACTGCTGGCCGCGACAGCGGGTTTGCCATCCTGCTTAGAACCGCCGGCAGGTCCCCGCGCTGTCTGGCCCCAACCACGTGGGAGCCACAAGCTAATCCCTGAGTTCCTCGAGTTTCGCACCGAGGCTCCCCTAGATAGGCCCTTTAAGGAGTTTACCTCGGGTTTAGGGGGTGGTTCCGGGAGGTTCGGGGTGTACAGAACGCCTACCGAGTTCATCGATTGTGCCCTAAAGCTCAGCCATCCCTTTGATACCCAGCACTGCGTCCCAGATGCCGTCAAAAGGAACATCTTCAGACGGCTGACCGAAGGACCATCTGCTTTTGCTGAAGAGAGGCTCAGACTTTACAACAGGCTCAACCAGATGGAGAAAGAACTTCGCTACGAGGAGGCGCGACTGCATTCAACCCTGCCTGACCACACTCGCGAAGTCATCAAGGGAAAGAACCTTCTGCTATGGGCACAATTGCTGAAGGAGACCAAATTTCCTGATGAAGGAGTCTTCGACTTGATGATGGGCGTCGATTTGGTGGGCAAGCCAGACAAATCACCCTTGTTTGAAACCAAGGAATCGCCGGCTACATCCACACCTGAGCTTCTCCTTGAATCAGCTCGCTGGCGCAGAGAGAGGCTCAAGGGCCGTGATCCGCACGAGAAAGATCCGGAGGCGACCTGGCAACTCTGGGATTGCACTCTAAAGGACCGGGACGACGGCTTTCTCACAGGGCCGTTCTACGATGAGGACGAAGTGAAAAAGCACCTTGGAGTAGAGGAGTTCGTCTGTTCAAGAAGGTTCGTCATCGAGCAGGGCACGCCGGAGAGGCCCAAACTTCGACCGATCGACAACTACAAGGAGGGCGGGGTCAACGAAGCTTACCATAGCCTCGAAAAGCTCGCCTTGTTTGATGTCAACTGGATGACGGCGATGGCGACTTACATCGCGCGGGTCTCGGATGGAACTGGCGATTTGGAGATTGTTCTCAGCACGGGAGAAATTCTACGCGGAGAGCTGCACTCCCAGAGGACGCCCGCTTGATTTTTTTCAATCGGCCGCTTGATTTTGGAGGCACACGAAACTTCTATTGAATTTGAGGAAATTTCAATCGTTTGGAACTTTTGTTGGTACGTGTTTCTATTGATTTTGAGTGTTGACTTCTATTGATTTTAATCGTGGTCTTTCTATTGATTTTATGGAAAATTTCTATTGATTTTATGGAAAATTTCTATTGATTTTATGGAAAATTTCTATTGATTTTATGGAGATTTTCTATTGATTTTGAGGTGGATGTTTCTATTGATTTCAATGACCAGCTTCAAGCTGAAACGACGGCCCGGGCGGCCCCAATTTGCTAACCAAAGAGAGAGAGAGAGAGAGAGAGAGAGAGAGAGAGAGAGAGAGAGAGAGAGAGAGAGAGAGAGAGAGAGAGAGAGAGAGAGAGAGAGAGAGAGAGGAGAGAGGAGAGAGAGAGAGAGAGAGAGAGAGAGAGAGAGAGAGAGAGAGAGAGAGAGAGAGAGAGAGAGAGAGAGAGAGAGAGAGGGGGGGGGGAGAGAGAGAGAGAGAGAGAGAGAGAGAGAGAGAGAGAGAGAGAGAGAGAGAGAGACAGACAGACAGAGAGACAGAGAGACAGAGAGACAGAGAGACAGAGAGACGGAGGAGACGGAGGAGACGGAGGAGACGGAGGAGACGGACAGAAGAGATGGGATGTGGGCCGGACGGCCCCACGAAGGGAGAAGGCGGGGGAATCATTTTTGGCAGGTTCGTGCATGGCAGCCGTCTTGAAACCAAAGCTTCCAGGGGCCGGACGGCCCTAAGAAGGAAGAAGGGGGGGAATCATGCTTCAAATCTCGTGCATGGCAGCCGTCTTCAAGCCAAGCTGCCAGGCACTTTGGGCTAGGTCAAGATGCAGGGCGATGATGAAATTGTCGTCCAGGCCTATGCCAAGCTGCTTCACGCCAAGGTTCCAGGCAAAGTCGCGAGGTCCTTGGTCGTGATGTGGCGGAGAGGTTACCTAGACCAGCTGGAGATTCTTGGCATGAACACATATACATATACATATACATATATATATATATATATATATACATAATTATACTTATACATATGCCGTATATATAGAATATGTATTTAATTTTTTACTTATATAGAGCTAAGGGATGTCGACAAGGAAGTGGGCTTCCTGAACTTTTTGGAGTACCTCATGTACAAGATCGAGAATGATATGGACATCGACCCCGAGCGCTGGCCGGAGGCGACGAAGCACATGAAGATGAAGGAGCACGGGTACATCCGGTTGTTGCTCAACGATGCTTCATTGATCGCTCTCCAAGCAAACCCAGGCATGGCAGAACCTAAGATGGACACCTCGCCATGCCAGGCCTTGAGCCGAATGACGAAGCCTCAACTACTTTCGGAAGCAGTGCGGGTGGGGGCCACGGTACACCAGTCCTGGAGCGACCAGGAGTTGCGGGCGAGGATCAGGGAGCACGTCGACGCTACATTTTTTTGAAATTGAGCCGCCCGTGCGCCAGGTCCCAGGATCTGACCAGTGCCAGGCGGCTGGGAGGTGAGCTCCAGGACAAGCCTCAAGTTTTGAGAACATAGGAAAGTGTGGAGGCGGCAGAGATTCTGCCGCTTCCGCGCCGTCCCAGGTTCCAAGTTTCAAGGGGTCGTTTTTGTTAGAAGCGGCTTAATTCAAGTGCTAATCCAGGGCAGGCTACTGCCAGGGTATAATTCAAGCCGAGATCGATCAAGCCCTGCTTGACATGCAAAATTGTCTTGGCGAGAAGAGGACCTGAGCTGAAGTTTTTTTTTCATAGTACGCTGCATGCTTCAGGCAGGCCTAGCCAGGTCCTGGGCTTCAAGCTCCAGGCAGGTCTGTCGGGTTTAAGTGCTGCAGGCCGCCAGGCAAGTCCTCAGGTTCTTAGAGCCATGGGCAGCCCCGCAGCTGCTGGCCGCGGCGGCGAACGAAACTTCGCCAAGCCGGAGGTGGACCAGGAGCACTTGCTGGACGTGTTCAAGAAACACGTCAAGCTCCTAGGTGTCCAGGCCGCCTTCAACTTCGACCCCTCCGGCAACCTAGCCAAGACGAGTGCTGTCCAGGCCAAAGGGCTTTCAAAGGCGACGGTTTTGCTCAAGAAACTCCAGGAGGTGGAGAGCGGCTTGGCTTTCAAGTACAAGGACTTGAAGGAGTGCTTGGCCAAGGTCAGCAAAGACTACCCGGACCTCATCCACCAAGCCCCGCTGAGCAAGCAAACTGCTTGGGCTGGGGACACGGCCGAGATGCTGCTGACCGTCATGGCTCATGCTCGCCGCTTGTGCAACGACACCAGGTTCAAGGAGGCTTGCAGCAAGGCGACCCAGTTCGAGATCAAGGATCTCGAGGAACTCAGGGCGCTGCTTCTTCCAGAAGTGTCGGCCTCACCAGCCAAGCCCCAGCAGGCGGAGACCCACAACACCAAGCGGCCGAGCACAGGGACGCCAAGCCCTGCGACCAAGCCGCCAAAGCTACGGTCGTTAGCCCCTGCGAGCAGGCCGCTTCGAAAGATTCGGACCAGGGATCTGGAGCTTCCAGACACTCCCAAGACCGCCAAGACGAGTTTGAGCCAGGAAGCCGAAGGCAGTCCCGTGCCAGGCAGCAAGGCTCGAATCAGGAAGTCTTGGGAGGGCGAGGTTTTGAAGAAACCAGCTGCAGCCGCTAAGCCTGTGAAAAAGGACAGTGACAAGCCGAAGAAGAAGCCGGCCTCTAATCTTAACATTAGAAAAAATTTTTGTTGTTCGTAAGCATATATTTCTATCTAGGAAGATGTATTTAAGTGAAGCCCTGAATGTTTAATCTCCATCATCAGGCCCCCAAGGACAAGGACAAGCCCGAGTTGACGGAGGCTGAAAGGGGCAAGCTGCAGATCATGCACTACCACGACAGTGTCGCATTGAGAGTCGACGGTTCTAAGCAGCTTTTCCAGATCGTGTGCAGGAAGCATGGTCGGGATAAGACCAAGCTTCAGGTTGCCAAGATGAAGAAGAAGCTCGCCGAAGGCGGCTCTTTGGCAGAGGCCTTCAAGGAGAAGGCTAAGTTTTTGGAGTCCTAGTTTCAAGTCTTTTAGTGTTCCAAGCCAGGGCGGGAAGCCCGGTGGCCTCGACTGCATAAGCCAGTATGCATGAGTGAAAAACACATCGACCCTCCAGCTGCATGAGCCTGCAAGTAAAGTTTCAAGGGCTGGACAGCCCTTTTCGGCGGCAAATGCTCCCAAGCGAGATCGATCTTCGGCCGCTGCAGCTCCCAAGCTCAAGAAGCAGCTTTAGGAGTTACTTAGTCAGGCAGCCAAGGAGCCAAGTCAAGCCGGTCCAAGCCATGGCCGGCCAGCAGCCTCGAGGGCGCCCAGGAGGAGCCATTCCCGCGATGGGAAAGGGCCCCCAGCGAAACAGTCAGCCAGGCGGCACCGGACACCTGCACGCACGTAACAAAGTTTTGCGTTTTTTTTAAGGATTTAACGAAACCGCTGATGTCTATATTTGAAAGCACTCAGACTCAAGCGCCTGGCGAGAGAACTGGAGGGCGCTTTACAGCCAGTACAAGGACGAGGCCGGCCTTGGAGTAACAAGCAAAAGTTTATACATACATTATATATATATATATATATATATATATATCAAAAAATATACATAAAAATATGTGTATATATATATATATATATATATATTTGTTTTTTATATGTTTGTGTCCCTTGTTGCGGTCCCTATCTAAGCCCCCATCCCCTAAAACTATATACTTAATGAAAACCCCTGCGGCCAGGGCGAGACCTTCGGCCACTGGCAAAACGATGTGGTGCAACACCTTAGCCTCAAGTTCAATACCCATATGCCCCAGGACCAGTCGATCAGGTTGTTCATTAACCGGGTATTTGAGCAATCAGAAACAATCGAGTCGATCGACGACTGGCTGGAGGTACAGTTGGATGAAATGAGCATGAGCAGGAGCAGCCAGGAGCCCCAGGATCCCCGCTCATCCAGGAGCCAGCAATCCCAGGAGCTCCACATTAATTGGACCTCCAGGAGGGATGGGCAGGATGAGCAGGGTCAGCGGCCCTGGAGGCAGCCACAGCCACTGCCTGCACCTCCCAAGGGCCTCCAGCTCCAGGGCAAGACGTCGCCACCTCCCAAGCAGCCACCGCCGAAAGCACCTGCCCAGGAGCAGCTTGACTGAATTTACTTGACCTTTTAATCTTCAAAACCTTTAGCTGTCTTCAAGCCGTCAAGGGCTGGAAGCCCTATTCAAGCCGTCAAGGCTGGAAGCCCTATTGAAGCCGTCAAGGGCTGGAAGCCCTATTGAAGCCGTCAAGGGCTGGAAGCCCTATTGAAGCCGTCAAGAGCTGGAAGCCCTATTGAAGCTGTCAGGGGCTGGAAGCCCTATTGAAGCTGTCAGGGGCTGGAAGCCCTTTTAGCTGGAAGCACCCCCAAGTAGCAGTGGAAACACCCAAAATTAGCCCTTAAGTTTGAGTCATGATCTCAGGCCCGCTCCGCCCGCTACGCCGGCGACCTCAGTCCCAGCCACCACAGCAGAAGGCGACCTTCCAGGCTTGAATTATCCAAAGTCATGTATAAGCCACATGTAAAACGATTTTTGAAAACCCGTAAGCTTTCTTTGAAATCTCTGCAGCTTGCAGGAGGTCAAGCTGAGACGGAGGATCCCGCTGCCCTCGAGTTCTTGGAAGCCGAACTTGCCAAGCTCCAGGAGACCAGGCTCGAGGTGGCCCACGAGATCTACAGGCGCAACCGCGAGGTCGGATCTTTAAAACATAATTATCATCTACTCTTTAAGCAAAGATTTTATTGTAAAAAAACATATTATACTGTTTCCTTCTATTCTGAATTCTAGGAATATACGATTTCCAAGGCCCAGCTCCAGGACGAGCAGGAAAACGAAAGGCAGGCCACAGAGACGGAATTCCAAGAATTCCAAGAGTCAATGGAAGGCGAACTCTGATGCCGAATGGGAGGAAAAAATGATAAAGGAGGTGGAGGAGAGGAGGGCCAAGAGGTCGAAGACGAGGAGTGACGACCTAAGCAGAACGCTGGTCGTCAAGCGCCAAGACCTCGACAGAGAGCTCTCCAAGCTCCAGGAAGCACACATCTCCAGGTACGACCGGGACGTGAGGGACCAGTTGTCCAGGTTGAAGTTGGAAGTCTTCAAGCCCAAGGACCAGGACTTCACGACCAGGCTGGAGATGGAG